ACCCCCCCCCCCCCCCCCCGTGACTGGGTATTTTACACCCTCTCGGCCTACAGTCTTAGTTTTAGTTAGTTTTAGTAAGGTTTTACATACGGCACTCGCAACTGCATAAGGTCATATGAGCACCAGAAGATAAGATGTGTTACAAGAGAGTAAAAAAACATAAAAAAGAACAAGGAGAGATAAGGACGATAGATGTTTGATAGGAAAGAAGAAGCATACCACACCAGAGCACCCGCCAACCACCCACGCCTACAGTCTGATAGAGAGATATCGTAAAAGATCAAGATCTAAGTATCAAAACTAGTGACTGGGTTTAGACCTAAAGATAATCGAGCCCGCATTGATCTCAATCCACCAAACCAGGTCCTATCGGAGATGGACGATAAGACTAAGACCAAAAGTTAAAAGCAACTTATCGGTACTTGTAAAATGTTTTCTAAGCAGATGGGTGACGTAAAAAGATTTTATTTAGGATAATATTTAATAGTACAACACACACACACACACACACACACACACACACACACACACACACACTACACACACACGCACATACAAACACACACACTATAACTTACTATACGTTACATAAAAGAAAGGATAGCTTTGCAAATGGTAGACTGCAGATTGTTACTTTTTACACATGTGAAAGTGAAAGCTAACTAGATCTACGTTTCACTTTCTCTGTCTGAGTAGTCTGAGTAGACAGTCCGAAAATTCTTCAGTTGAAGAGTAGGTTCAGGAATAGTTATCAGAATGCCTAATAAGTAATATTATAATAAATGCTCTGAGAACATTACTCTGATATGATAATTACATGATTTTCATAAATATTGACTCTTTACTCATCTCTGATAAACTTAAACTGCACAAACTAAATCTGTACATGAAGCATTGCAAACATTTTCGTCTATGAAAACACATTGGACTGAAATTCGATTTGGTTGTGTTGTCATAGATAGTTAAGATAGAAAGATATTCCTAACGAAGTTTCAGTTCTAGTGAGAGTTTTACGGTAGTTGCAGCACAAAAAAGGTCTCACGTTATAAGTGCCGAAGATTAGAGGTGTTTCAAGAGAATAACGAACACAAAAAAGGAGGAGAGATGAGGATGATAGGAGTTTGATAGGAAAGAAAGAGCAAACCATACTGGAGCACCCACCAACCACACTAAAGAAGGTTCAACGAGAAGAGTGTAGAACCATATTACAACATGTATTAGGACTATAATATTATGTTATTATTAGGTTAGGTGCCGTACCGCATTCGCCAAACCCATTCCAGTGCTAGGATTGATAACAAAGCGAAAGCGGCAACCGCATTGAAAATAATAAAAGGGACGTAATCTAGGAAATGTTTTAGGATAATTATTTTATTTCCCCTTTTCCCCATACGCACGCATAATAAGGAGGAGTTTGTTTTGGACTGAAATTTAAATAAATAAATAGATCGAAATAAATAAATAAACAAATAAATAAATAAATAAACAAATAAATAAATTTATTATTATGTTCCCAACACACTGTATCTAGATTTTATATGTAAGTGTAAGTCATAAGCGTAGAGGCAGTGGGTGGATCAAATGTAAGTTAGTAAGTGCAATGGGTTGAGATCTAGGCTTCCTCAGTCTCAGGCCATCGAGCCCACACGACTGGCTCCGGCCTTGAGGGCCGGGATGGACAACCTTATCTTGATAAGCTCGCCTCGAGACCGGTCCTTATCTTATCGAGGATCAATGTGAAAAGCGGCGATTAAATGCGAAAAGCGGCGATAGGCAGATGTTCGAATATTATTATTAATACGTATGCAGGAGATGGACCATTTTTGCATTACGTTTCTGCGTGCCGATAGTCACAGTGTAATAATAATGTGTGTAGTGTGTAGCCGTCTAGTCTGTCTAATCTCTTAGCCTCTTCATTGTTTCATTCAGTCCTCTTGGATGCACACGTTTTTTTTTTAGTTTGGATGTATTTTCACTACACTCAATTTTAAGGATTAAATTTGTGCTTATAATTTATATTATGTGTCTTAGTGTTCCGCCCAGATTCTAGTTTCTTTCATCTTGAATGTTACTGTTACTGTTACTAGAATCTACCGTTACTGTGAAAAAGTTTTCAGATGACGTCTCAGTTTCAGCGCAATGAACCGTGTGAGCAACATTTGAACATGGGAAGAAAGTGTAGGGGATGGGGTAGTAGAATTGGTTATGAAAACCAAAAGGAAGATGCAAAAAAACACAATAATATATATAGATTTCCAAAAGATTCGGAAAAAAGCACAGTGGATCTAAAGTGTTCCAAATAAATTAATCATAGAAGATGTCACGGATTATAATATGGGAGTTTGCTCTCTGCACTTCAAACCTGGTGTACCTTTGACACGGGCTGGAAGATTTATATAGTGCCCTCAGAGTCTCCAACAAAATTTCCAGAAGTACCACCATCATATTGGCACACCAGCTCCAAAAAAAGAGAGCAACTACAACAAGTTCAGCTTCTTCTAGAGCTGCTGATATTGATAATATATTTAAGGAAGGAGATGTCTTCAAGTTCGATTCATTTGATCAAACAATGGATATGACGCTGACAGCCATTGGCAATGTTGCAAAGAGTAAACATTATTATAATTAATACATAATTTGTCTTGCTCAGCAGAACTCGAGATAGCCCTGTTTTTGCATTTTCCATGTATTTTACTTTTGTTCACCATACCCATGACCACGTGAAAGAGGTTTCATTTGAAGTTTGAAGCTTCACAAACTGAAGCACATCAGGCTTCCTGGCTTCACTATCGCACCAGAGATGTTGTTACATGATAGAGTCATAGCCTAGATGAAGTTTTGCACTTCGTGTGTAACCTTCCACAGAGACATTGTTGGCCTACTCTAC